TTTCTTAATCTTCAATTAATGCTGAAGAGCTTTCGGTTTTTTTTTAGTTCGTTTCCCTTGAAAAACGTTTCAAACTAACAAAAACGTGTTGTTGGGTGATTTACTAGTAGATTGAGGCATGTTGAACTGAAACCACACTAGCATACAGCCAACGTTATTTTTTAAAAATTAAGATAATTTTTAACATCAATATATTTTGATATGTAACTAGATGTCTGACCACCGTCAAGCATGTCATGGACCAAAGAACTAACCCTTTTTTTATTATGCAGGTGGAGAAATTGACGTCTCAACTGCGAAAAATGTCTTCTCCCTACGTTCTGTTCTTTCCACTGGATTTTCATCCACATAATTATTTCTTAATAATTAATAAGGTCTTCACCAATTTTGCTAAAAATCGTCCATTTTTATTATTAATTATTTATAATTAAATTATTAAGATATTTTGATAATCAGCTGGCTGATTAAACCAATTAAAAATAAAGTTGCTAGTGCGTGTTGAACTGATCGACGATGATCATTTTCCTCCATTCTACTTTATCCTCCACGCCATCTTCATCAGAGTGTAATCTCTTTAATCCACATTAAAGTGCTTAAACGAAAATCTGATATTTCATGAGTAACAACTCAATATCATTTAAGGAGAAAATTTTCAGATTGTTTAACCTACGGTCACAGTAGAAATAACATCTCAACGTCCATTTCTTGTTTATGGTCGTTCGTGTGCTTCCATTATGAATGGACTTGAGATATATTTTATTTATTATTTATTGACGACTGTTCGTTTTTATTTTCCCGGGTTTGAAATTAACATTACACAAGGTAAAAAAGCAATTTTGACTATTTTCGTTTTGAATATCTTCACAACTTTACAAGATTAGATCTCGTATGATTCAGAGTTGACCCTAAAAATAGTAACAAGCCTCCCAATTACGACGAGGTGGGCTTCATCCATACGAAACGAGGCAAAAAGACTTGACCCCGAGGTCGATTTAGGTCATGCGATCGTGAGTTCTCCCCTGTCCTTGTTCTTCGCCTTGCGAGGGTGTCGTCATGGGTACAAGGCTGTGAAAAGGGTAAAAACTGGATTACTTTTATGATCCCTGACTAAGCGCGGGGGCGAAGGCAAATTGCCGTAAGTCACGTTTTGGGCCTATTTGCACCAATCTTTATGAATATTCATAATGTTTTCCAACCATGCTAGAAACGGTATTGAATTAGAAACGGCTTATTACTTTTTTTTATGAGGGCGCCATCATCGCTTCCGAAGGTTTTGTTTCTCCCTCATCACGAGACGCCTTGGGACCGAGGTAATGGAAGCTGATGACACAATATTTCCTATCATTGCTTCGAGAGTTCATTTTTTTACATTGTTATGTCGTAAATTTTATATCCTCCATGGGCTTCAAAGAAATTATCTGAAATTATTTAATGAAACGTGTTTTTCATTTTCCATTAGGTCTCATCCAACATCGAATCATGTTTCATCTGCTCTGATGGCCTCTTGGCATCTCTGCTTCGGAAAACAACGTCAATATTAATTTTATATATCTAATCTATCAAATATCAAAAATAAAATTTATTTAAAAAAAAAGAAAATAAACCTTTCTCAAAAATTAAATATGGGCGAGTAAATCTATTCAAACCTAGTAGGTATAGTTAAACCATTAAATGTACTAAAATTATTCAAATTTATGTGACCACTCGGTTTTATATTACTCCAAATTTTTTTATTCTGTAAATGGATTTATTGTCCTTATGATAATAAGATTCACGATAATTGGTTTAGAGTTTTCAAAATTTTAAATAAAACAAAAGTCTCTAATTTTTGAAGAAAAATATAATTATTTATTCTAGCGGGGTTGTATCACACAAAACATAAGAGTTTCATAATAACAATTTTTTCACCATAAAAATACGATCCTAAAGAAAAATTTACGGTAAATGTAAAACAATATAGCCCCTGTATACGTAAAGGCGAAAGACGCAAACCCGCACCACCACCGGTCTCAATTACAACATTTACTCCATCAATGCCCTTATGAATTGTTGGTAAGGGGAAGGTCCTTCAAATAAGAATTTGGTTCTTTTTCCAAAACTCCTGATCATTTTTGTTACACAAGGAAATAGCTGCAACATAAATTCAAGAATTAATAAGTAATAAGACTTCAACTACGTCTAGAGAAAATAAATAGCAAATATACAGCAAATACTTATATTGTACAATCAATTATTTGTAAATTATTGTATTATGGTATCCTGCAGCTTGATTTATTAACTAATCAACTCGAGTAAAGAAAAAGACATTTTCTAAGTTCGAGCTATAAAAGTTTTAATCATCATAGTCATTAGAGGTATTCACGACCGTTGTGTTATCTCTGTTAGGTCGTGTTAGATCGAGAAAAATGTTGACGTAGACTTATAAGAATCGGCTAGTTAATATTGCTGGATCTAACAGGCCAGGGCCAATGTTAGATGTAGGGCGAAGGTAACCAACATGGCAGCCATGAATTTAACAAATGTTTTGTGTTTACACGTATTTTTATTCTTAAATACGCATTAATTAAATGAAACCAAAACATTTCTTTTGTTAATTTCTGACCTGTCCTAATACTCTCATTCATAATAGATACATCCCATATCCTGCAAAGTTGTAGGCTGTTAGACGTAGGATACAAGTTAGGTATTTCGGCACGAATTGAAGCATGTCATTTGTTAGTACTTTTAATAGAGAGCATTCTGAATGAAAGAGTTGATTAATTTTGCTTTTTTTACTAACTTTTGGCATCTTACAATTTAACACAAAAAAACGAAAACAAACAACAACAAACCTTCAAGGACTGTTATAGCTTTTTTTTTGTTCTACCAGCATTGCACCAGCTGGTGTACGAGCAGCATTGTGGAAAAATTAACGTTTAACATGCTAAGAAAAGAAGGGGACATTCACGATCTTACTGGACACTTCTCTGTTCGAGTTTACACGAGTTAACATCTTACAAACAACGTGAATACCCCTATTGTTTGCCTATGGGTGACGACAAATTAACAGCATAATAAAGGGCAAGACTTACCATTACGAATGAAGCATTGGCCAGAGATTATGTAACAAAACCTGCAGAATAGTGGGATGGTGGAACCAATAGGTCACATTGCACTAGACCGCAAATACTGATCAAGAGGAAACAAAAGTAATCGCAAAGTCTACAAAAGGTAGTCTGTCAAACAGGATGCATACTGGACCGATGGTAACAGCACTCAATGTGCCACCTTTACACATTCATGTACAAATGGTGGATTTTGAGACAACAGAGATTTTCAAAGAAAGCAACCCAAAGTTTCAAGAAGAGGTCCTAACATGGTGTACAGATGGATCGAAGATGAATCCAAAACTGCGAGCAAGAGTTGTAAAGAATAAACCGAAGACAAACAATATAAAAACACTAAACGTGTATGCATTTAGCTCCAAACTAGCCTAGGCGAGCTTAAATTGCCTAATGACTTTCGAAGAAGACATGGTTACCTTGAGGTTCCGGCAAATGAAGGTATAGAAGCTCTCTCACTCATGGGACTGGAATCACAACTAGATTCACTAGAAAGTGTGCTAAAGAAGTAGATGGTCAAATGTCTTGAAAAAGGAAACTCCAGCAAGAGACAAAAGCACCAGATACGAAGATAAGATGTGCACAAATTTGCCAAAAAATGAATGTGAACTCTCAGCAGGATTTGAGAAAAATTATCGGCTTCACTCCCGGATAATGCGTACACCCTGAACAAGCGCAAAAGGCTTTGAGGAAAGTATTTACTACTTTGTGGGAAAGCATTTGCCAGTCGCCAGAGTAAAGTTTGAAGACCTTATTTAACCTTTTTGTAAAGATGTCTCTTGTTAAAGGAACATTTTGTAAGACGGGGTGTCCTTTAGACCTATATTTTTGTCCTTTGTTGAGCTTCATTCCTCGAAGACTTTATTCAAGTACGACTGTTTTTATTGCAAAATAAAAACTCCGAACGCGGGCGGTCTTTTATAACATAAAACGAACACTGCCAGAATCAGGTTATACTGAAAAGAAATAAGTAATTCCGCCAAATTCATCAATTTACACCCTTCCAAGTTCAGTTTTCGAATTTAGATTTCTTCTTGACTAATTTATCACCATTGGATTGTTTATGTTCCTAATTTTGTAACGACTAGATAACAAATTAGTGTTCGTACTCTAGCTGCTCTCGTGAACAGCTCTCGTCGATAAAGAACGGTTTTGGCTTTGAATTGATAAGAGATATCCTCTCAAGCAATTAACCTCTGCTTCATGTTAAAATGTTTTATATTGCAACATTGGAATGTTAACATTAAAAAAGCACTTTCTGGTTGACATTCGGTCCATTTTATTTAAATTAAGCGGTGAAAAAGTTTAAAACAGAGATAAAATAATATTCCACATTTTATGTTTGAGGTTTCTCGTCTAATAAAATGTTGCCAAACATAAACTAAATAATGTGATTATCAGGAAGTTATAAAGGGAAATCATTTTGAAGAAATTAGGAACATTGAAACCATCGATTTTATTCCCTCCCGCGTTAAAAGTCCTTTATTCCCTGCGCTTTGTGGCCAGTAAAATTTGTACCATATTTTGCGAAGTCAAATTAAATTATTGTTTTTGAAGAACATTACCAGTACCTATATGTAAATTAAGAGATTTAGATTGTAACAAAATTTTTTGGTAGATATGAGAAAAGTCACCATGAAATTTACCAAGTATTAAGGTGACTTGTTTTTCTACGTAATGATGCTATTTGAGGTTACTAAAGTTAAAAAACACCAGACCTCAGGGCTTTGATTTTATTCACCCAAAGCCTTTTGGAAAGAAAATATCTTTTAAACACTTTAGGAAACATCCGAAACAGAACAACAGCCACAAATTTCCGCCAATCCAACCCGGTCTAATTAATCGCCTATAAAATTGTCGATTTAACCATTTGACTCAAAGTTTGTTGCTTGTTTCCAGGGGCTCGGTTTACCGTGAGGTGCCTAAGTCATGTTGCGGTCTACTTTCGCCGGCAGCTGTCTCTCTCAGGTGGCTTATGCTCCTTCTGCTGACAGTCGGAGTTTGTTGTGCCTTGGTCGGAACTGTTCTTGGGGCTACCAGAGCCACCGCCCCTCACCACCTCACAGTCTCGCTTCTAATGATAGGTAAGTTAAATTAACTTAATATTTTAGATAAAAATAGTTTAATCTTAACGGCCTTCCAATGACCGTAATATGTATATTTCTTTATGTTTTCAAGTTTTATTTGCCCACTGATTTTTTTCGTTCCTCATGATAATTGGTTTTAATTAATTAATCTGTATTTAAGGTATTGGTTAAGATAAAAAAGTCAGTGTCACGAGCGGGATTCGAACCCACGACCTTCGACTTAATACGCCGCTGCTCTACCATTTGAGCTATCGTCACTTCGATCCACTCGGACACCACCTTTCCACCTCAGCCTTTGCCGCCGAGAATCAAATAGATTACACGACATTTGAAAAATGGCAAAAAGGAGGGAAAATTCGAACGGCTGTAGGTTGAGATGGGAAGTTAGTGTCCGAGTGGATCGAAGTCACGATAGCTCAAGTGGTAGAACAGCGGCGTATTTAGCCGAAGATCGTGGCATCGTACCCCGCTCGTGACACTGACTTTTTTATCTCAACCAATTCCTTTCATAAAAATTAATTTTATTAAAATATTCGAATATATTCGATAATTTGGCATTTCTACTGATATCAAGCAAGATGAAGGTTGGCAGTCTGAGCATACATTCCATTGCGGTAAGCTATTATTTGGAAATGGAAGCTACTCTTTTCTCCTAGTTTTCCATAGCCTTCGGGTCTGACTTTCGTAAGGTACAACGTTAATCTTCCCCAAGTTCTACCACAGAGTCTGGCATATTGGTATATCCGTTGTGCTTGGTAGTGGGTTCTCTTTTAGTGTGATTTCCATGTTAACGTTCGTTTGAAGAGTTCCCAGGTTGTTAGGACTTTAGCCGGAAAGCGCCCTATGTCCCGAAAGGGTGGTGGCAGCTACTGCTGGAGTGACCCTAAAGTAATAGTACACCTCCTTGGGGGGACAGTCTCTCAACACTTGTAAGTTTTTCATCCATAAGTTCTTGTTTTATTTTTATTTAATATGGTCTTGGTCCATTCTACAGTCGAGGCTTCAACTCCTTCATTAGTAGCCGCAGCTACAATCGTTTTTAAAAGGCCAGCCAATGAAAGTTTTTTTCTTTATTATCCATTGAGTTCTGCATATTTTGCACAAAATAATGTAGGCTTATGTAGCGGTATTTTTTTTCATTTGGGAAAACTCACTGTTACTTAAATGAAAAAAGCAAATAAAACGGGACTTGGAGCGATGATGCCTTTTGAATAATCTCCGGGTGTTTACTTTCAACGAGGATCAAACGATGGCGTTGTGTGTTTTGCCCTGTGACATAACATGCAATCAGGAAAGAAATACATATGACAACCTTTTTAAAGGCTTTTACACGAAGATTTGCAAATATTTGATCGTAACTGATTGAACAAAGAATAACAGAAGGGTGTTCGTTTAAGTAAAACTTTCAATGTAAATATATAATTTGTAAAATCCAGCAAATGTTAATATATCAATAAAATCAGGCGATATTTTGTTTTTTCAAGATAAACAATGACTTAAAGTTTATATTGGCCGACATAGTTTGATTTATGAGGGAATAAAAGTTAGCCATAGTAGGTAGACAAAGGACAGCGAAGGTTGGGCATCTGCTATCGCCAGACGATGGAATCGTTTTCTTTATGATTCCTCCCAGACTTGGGCCCATTCGAACGCGATTAAACCAAGAGCGGTAACAAACAAGCGGGAATCTCCGATCTCAAATTATCACAAGTGAAGGCAGAAAGAATGCGGCTTGGGTCCGGTGATAAAAGGGTGTAAAAAATATCTGATAGGTTGTGGGCGTTTCGGGCTTAATTACTTACCGCTCCCTCGGCATAAATCCCGAGATGATTTTGAAATTTTGCTACGGCTCTGATTTTTATCGTCATACAACGCAAAAATTCGGCGAGAATGCATTATTGGCAAATCAACCAATTAATTTAACCATGTAATAAACAGGGCCATACTTAGAATTTGGATTGTAATGATAATCATAGGACTAAAGTTGTATGACCTTCTGGGAAAATCAAGGAGTTCAGAACGTTACATTATAACCACAAACTAATAGATTGCCGAAATATCTACAATTATTCGTTTCACACTCACCTCAAATTTCATACCAGAAGTTGAAATATTATCTAGAGTTGCATGCATTCCTTGGTTGTAATCAGTGGCAATAATGTCCTGATATTCGCCTGGATCCCGCGAGCTCATTACATCGAGGTAATGAGGCCGACATAATTTTGTGAAAAGCAGCAGTTTGTCATAAAAATGAACACCACATGAAGGATGAGATACGGGAAAATGATCATAGATGGATTTTACGCAGCCGAAATAAAACGAACTCAAGTGTCTCCTGATTTGAATCTCCTACAGGACAACAGCACCGGCAGAAACAATGGGCAGAGCACTTCGCCAAGTAGATGAAGAAAAACAGCATTATCGTACATAAAAGAACGACAGTCGATAAAAACTGATTAACAGATTCACGCTGATTAGTGAGCTGCAGCAAAAATATAAAAGCACAAATGATCTATTTAGGCCGAGGTGCAAACGCCTCTTTATCCACCTTTTCTTCCCCATCCCATTTCGCATCAAAATGTACTCATGATTTGGTAAGGTCGTCGAGACCATTATAGCTACCAGTGATATAATAACATAAAGCTTACGTGCTTAAAAAGTATATTTTATCAGCCGATGAATACTCCAAACCATATAAAGTCGGAAGACCATCCTTTACCTTTGAGTTAGGAATTGGTGGGTTGATGCTTTGATCGCTTTAAAATATTTTTCCAATCCATTATGATTAGTGGTCTGATTGACCAAATTACTTCTTTGAAATAATTATTTTTTTTATGCAAGGTCTTGGTTGAAATGAAAAAGTTAGTGTCACGAACTTTTTGAATAACAATTTGGTAACGATATTTTGGAAAAATAAATCTATAAATCTACTAAACCACATACGTCAAAACTGACTAGAAGAGGCTAAAACTTAGAGCCACCAATGTTTAAGGAAACTTTTTTCGTGATACTAAATCAAAATTATTAGAAGTTTCCAATGGATCGCTGGATTCGTCAAGCCCAGCAAAATTAAATTTAGCAGATAGCCTAGCATGGACATCGTTTTGAAATATGTACATAATTTATGACGAAAATATCTCATAATTTTTTTTTTAGTGTGTAGTATTTAGTGATTGTTAATTAATGATTATTTAGAGATGTTGAGATGAGGTCTAAAGTGGTGTAGGTTTACAAAAATATTTTCTTTATCGTGTCAACGTTCGACTTTTATTGAGATCTTCTTCAGAGCCTGAGATTTATAAACATTGTTTAAAAAAATTTTATTTAAGGTTTTCGTCGAAATGAAAAAGTTAGTGTCACGAGCGGGATTCGAACACAAGACCTTCGGCTAGCCGTTCGAATTCCTCTCGTAACACTAACTTTTTCATCTCAACCAAGACCTTACATAAAAACAATATTTTTCCAATGGACATTCCATTGCATAGCGTATTTTGTTGGACGATTAAAACATTAACCTTGTCGTTTCTAATCCTTTTGTCTTGTTGTACCGGTCTGTCATTCGGGTTTTAGTTTTTCACCATCTTCAGGGGTGGGCTGGGGCAAAAGTGAGAGTATTCTCTGCTCTGATACTGTGTAGCTAATAGTACAAGATTTAGTATACACCATCTCCTGCACAAAGTTGTGAAGTTTATTTTTGGTTCAGATTTTTTCCGACTTAGAAACATCCTCGAAGAGTAAGTACCGGCGAATTGCTGTTTGTATGAACCTTCTTTTATGCCCAGTTTGGTAAATTTGGAGTGACCAGTTAAAAATCATGATCGAAAAGCCACCAGGTTCGTACGTATACATATATATTTTAGGACAACAAAGAACTACAAATAGGACATCTACCGATCATGCTACCTATCTTTCTATTTATCCTTCTTAAGATAATTAATGCATTAACATAACTGTTGTTTCTTTTATTAATTTCCTATTATGTTCTATTTTGTCATGTCAGCCAGCATATATATATATATATATATATATATATATATCCACCTAGAAAATGGTCTATTCAATGAAAGGCAGAGAGGGAAATTTTTCATCTTCTTATCAGTTTAATAGGGCTGTAATGTGGCATCGTGTATGCATGAAACATTTTCAATGGGCGGGTTTGTGAACTAGGTAGGAAAGAGGTACATGAGCCGAATCTCGGATAGTGGATAACATTAAAAGGCCAGGGGGCGGGAAGACACATTTTGCGGACGGGCGTAACAGTCACATTAGCTTTTTGTGAACTCCGCTCTGTTGCAAAAAGCTAATTTGTGAAAAGGATTAGGGCCCGCTAAAACCCCGTGGTTCAAAAGATAACAGTATTTATGTTTTTAATTCCGTGTAGATAATGGTTTTTGATTTAAAACGGTTAAGACCCTCCTCTGACCGAGTAGGACAATAGGGCCAAGAACTTCCATTATGAACCCGACTCGGACAATATCCGGGAGGGGCACCGTCGGAAGTAGGTGTGACCGGGAGCCGATCAATTTACCCATAATCCCCTCGAAGTCGTAAGTCACCTTTAATGTCTTACACTTTGTTCGACCGCGTCCGTCTAGGGGATTAACGCCTAAAGGAAGAAAGCCGGGATGGGAGCCCTTACAAACAGACACGGCTAACTGTTTTAGGAGGCGGAGGAACACCGGATATTTATGAAAATTAATACAAAAAACAACATCCTTTCATCTATGAAAAATAAATGCTTCATAGTAAAGTTTGAAGAAAACAGTAGACATTTTAAATATGAGGTGATAATTTACAGCTTAATATCGAACCCTAATAGATCAAGTGATTTATTGAGCAGTAGATAATTAAAAAGGTCATCACTTTATATTCATAATCAACAATTACTTAAAAGGAATAAGCTAAAATTTAGAAAAGAAAATTATTTTTCAGATACCCAAGGTTCCACAAGGGAGCATTCTTAGTCCTACCCTATTTATTATTTATACTGCTGACCT